AGATATTCTGTAACATATAAAGGATGACTAACTACAGATATTCTGTAACATATAAAGGATGATTAACTACAGATATTCTGTAACATATAAAGGATGGTTAACTAGATATTCTGTAACATATAAAGGATGGTTAACTAGATATTCTGTAACATATAAAGGATGATTAACTAGATTCACAGATTTGTTTAGTCATAATTAAGATAAAAGCTTTCACTTGTTTTTCAACACTTGTATTACTTTTACAAATATTTATAAATTGAAGCTGTTATTGGTATGATTAATAGGTTTAAAATGAAATAAGACCACCAGTACTTCTATATGTCAAACACAATAGAATCTATTCCTCACCCTAACCCTGATAGACATACTAGAGAATATAGTTCTCCAACACGTAAAACAAGTGATTAGTAGAATGTAGCTTGTACAGACTCAGATGATTCAGAAAACTCATCCTTAGGATATTGATATCAGAAAATCAATTTCTGTTGAATACTTCCTGTTTCATTAGTCCAGAATATTTTTATATTGTAGATTATTATGTAGAGTAGAAACATCTTACCTTGAGAAGTTCTACAATACAGAGTAAAAGAAATGTAAAGCGTGAAAAGTGTGATAAGCCCTATGTAACAAATGTCATTCTTATCTCAATGCCTCCAATAAGTGGTTGAACCACAGGTACTAGCCTCGTCTGGCAATACACCCCTAGTATAAAATAACGTTTATAGATGTATTATGGCTGTATTGACAGACCAGGATAGTACCTGTGGTCAAACTCAGGGCTTCTGGTTTTCTAGTCAGAAGTTTTACCAATCGAGCTATAGAGACATCCCCCTAGCCTAGTCGGTAGGTAGTGGGTAGTATTTCACAAGGATGACACCTACTTTTTCTAAGATGGCATCGAGGAGAGGCATGTTGTCCTTCTGAGCCTTGATGGTGTGGGAGAAGAAGGCATAGGTTTTGTCAGGCATGAGCTGGTCGATCGGTACAGTCTTCACTCCGATTACCAGAGAGGCCTCACTGATGTCTTCCTGTATCACAGCTCCACACTGGGCGTAATCCTAGAGTACAACATTGTATTACTGTATCAGGTATACTTACATTGTATTACACTGACACACAGAACACTGTGCTACAGAGTACAACATTGTATTACTGAATCGGGTATACCTACATTGTATTACACTGACACACAGAACACTGTGCTACAGAGCACAACATTGTATTACTGTATCAGGTATACTACTGGATCTAGTCCTACAGAGAAAGACACTGTATTACACTGACACCATGAACATTGCCCAACTGACCAAAAGTGATTCATACATACTCCCAAACTAAATGGGAGGCATAGGGAACATAACACTATGTAAATACTAGAAACATATTTATATAACATGTCCAATACACACACAAAAATTAAAACAACAATGCAATACAGTCATATATTTATCAGTCTTTTAAATCACAGCAGGAGAGAAATGACCTACGATCATGTTGTAGGCTCTTCTGTTTGACGGTTGGACGATGACCTTGATGCCATTCTTCACCAGTTTTCGGACATGTCGAGGGGCTAGAGGGGCACGCCGCTCCCAAACATTGATGGTCTCCCGCCTTATGGCCATTACCTTCGAGACGTCGGACACAAACCTTCGGCATTCTGCAGACAACAACACTCTGCTACAGAGCTGCTGCGTTTGCCGACGCCACATCTTGTCCTAGTTTGTCGACAAGCTGGGTTGTGTCTGTCTGATGTTTCAGTGGTGATTATGGTCTTATTAATCTGTGATGCTTGATCAATCTGACACCTCCTGTATTTGAATTCCTGAAAAATAACAAGGAATCGTATCATGTTATCAAGACTTCAAGAAGCCACTGAAACTACACAGAGACTATGAGTAGTTTCTTAGATTAGAAATTGGAGTACATTTTGATTTAAAAAATAAAAATAAAACTTTTTACATGAATTCATCAAGAACTTTATATTTGTAGCACTTACAAAGACTTTTCTACCTTTTTTTAGAGACCTTTACCTTTCGGTCTGCAAAAAAACATCAGCAATATGATGTTCCCAGCAAATGAAATTTAACAAACATTTTAAGGTACGATGCCTTCAACAGGTCCTTAATGTACCCCTCAAAATTTGCTGACTTGCACTGACACCGTAATTAAAATGATCCTGTTTCCCTCACAAATGAGCTATCATTCACTGAAGGACATTATATATGCATGTAAGCATGTTAAATCAATGTGATGTGTGGCATTATTTGTTTTTCATTTTACTATTATGTGACTTTGTAACATAATGCTATTCTATATGTGACTTTGTAACATAACATTATTCTATATGTGACTTTTTAACATAATGCTATTCTATATGTGACTTTGTAACATAATGCTATTCTATATTTGACTTTGTAACATAATGCTATTCTATATGAGACTTTGTAACACAAGAGGCCCAAGAGGGCCTGTATCGCTCACCTGAATATTTAAGCAGTCATAGCAAAATATTCTCATTAAATAATTCATTGCACTATAAATATTTCCCTTGCAAACTTTATTGGCTCCATCTGTTGAAACTACCAGCAAAATATTATTATAAGATTCTATGCATTTTGATTCTTCTTCAGAAGTTGCTTGACATATTTTTCCCTGTGATCTTGTAAGAAGGTCAATGTCATTTTCCTTCTCAAATTGGTTAGCTCTATTCCAAAAAGCTACCAGCCAAATCTTATGGAATCATTCCTTTTAGTTCTCAAGAACAAATCCATTAAAATGTTGTTGACCTCTGTGACCTCTAAAGTAGGTTGAGGTCATTTTCATT